GACTTTACTATTTCCTGATTTGGTAGAGTAAGTACTCTGTTTTGGTCTTTTCTTGATCTTGTCCAGTTTACTAGTTCAGTCTTTGAGCTGTCGAATTGGATAGCTGACTCGTCTGCTCGTCTAAAGAGACTCTGGATCTCCTTTTCTAGTATAGGTTTGACAATTCCTAATCTATATCGCTATAGACTAACAAGTATCAATCTTATAAAGTTAAGTAACTAGTTATCGAAGTAAACATGCTAGATTTATCAGTTTTCCAACCCAAAAACGTAAACCTATCCATATTGAGGAGCAAGATAGTAGCATACTTGAACTGGTATATTTCAAGCCAGCTTCAGAATTGCCCTATTGTACCCTCGTGTTCTGCCGTATGTGAGAAGCCGCAGTATTTCCAACGTTCAATGTAGCCGGTTGTGCTTTTCCATGCCACTAGCGCCAGATACTAGTCCGATTGGTCATCGGAAAAGAATCCGCGCCAAAAGCGGGTAAGTGACTCATTGAATTGACTCTATAAGAGTATGACTGTATGTACATGTATGCATAGCTCAGCACCTGCAAGAGAAGAAAAAATTATCTTCTGAATCTTTTTCATCGCTCTTTGCACCGAGAGACTTCACCTGTTCAAGATATTTCGCCCGTAAACATGGCCCAACCGGCGTCAGACACCAAGATCTTTGTAGCGGCAGATGAAGCGGAGAGATTTGTGCGAGAAGTGCTTACGGGAAACGGAGTTCCTCAAAACAACGCGGAGATTGTTGCACGCTGTCTCATTGCAGCAGATTTGCGTGGGGTGGACACACACGGGATGAACCGGATTCCTTCGTATCTCGAGCGCGTCCGGCAGGGGGTCCTAGACGGCACGGCAACACCGGAAGTCAAGCAGATCACACCTGTGGTAGCTCAAGTTGATGGGAGAAATGGATGGGGCTTCGTGGCTGCAGACGTGGCCATGGCTGCCGCTATTGAGTCTGCTAGGGTGAGGTGAACGCCTCCCATTTTGTAAGATCAACGCTAAGAAAACACATGTAGGTCTTTGGGATTGGAATGGCCAGCGTCAAGCATTCCAATCATTTTGGAATGAGTGCATGGGTGGTTCAGAAAGCTTTGGATGCTGACATGATGAGTCTGGTCTTTACCAATTCCAGTCCTGCTTTGCCGGCATGGGGAGGAAAGTCCAAACTACTAGGCGTGTCGCCGATAGCTTGTGGCGCACCTGGGAATGAAACTCCGTTCATTCTCGACATGGCGCCGTCTATTGCGGCAAGAGGAAAGATCTATAAAGCGAAAAGAAGGGGAGAGCCAATTCCTTCGGACTGGGCTTTGGACAAGGACGGACATGCGACGACGGATCCAGCCGCAGCTCTTGACGGGGGTGTCATGCTTCCGATGGGTGGTCCAAAAGGGTCCGGTCTGGCTATTATGATGGATGTCTTTTCTGGAGTCTTGTCTGGATCCGCCTTTGCGGGAAACGTCACTGGTCCATACGATCCATCTAAGCCATCTGACGTTGGCCACTTCTTGGTTGCGATCAAACCGGACCTTTTCATGAGCTTGCAAGAATTTAGAGATCGTATGCAGTATCTCTATGACAAGGTGGTTGGCGCAGACAAGGCAGCTGGAGTAGAGCGTATATATTTTCCTGGGGAGCTAGAGCAGTTGCAGCAGAAAGAGCGCGAAGCAACGGGTATCCCATTAGTACAGGCTGAGATCGATGCACTAAACGGCGAAGCGTCAAGAGTTGGAGTCAGACCTCTGCAGGTCAAATCACTGTAATTTGTTATTTCCGTGGGTATTCAAGCTACTAGCATGGCTGTCGCCATTAAAATCAAACATTATGAGTTTGCCAACTTGGCCAATGCATCTCCCTCGACCCGTAGACCGACCCATTCGGTTTTCTTCTTCGCACCAATCACCTCACTCTGATAGAAATTGAGACTGGGCTCATTCCAATCCAAACAACTCCATTCCAGCCTCTTGCCTCCAGCCTCAAGAACCAGTGCCGCGAGCTCTTTCAAAAGCCGCTTCCCGTAGCCCTTCTTCCGATATGCTTCTTTTACGAACAAATCTTCGAGATAAATTCCTGGAACACCAGTCCAGGTGCTGAAATTGAAGAAGTAGACTGCCATTCCAGCTACAGTTCCATCTGGATCTGTGATGAGGAGGGTACGAGCAAACCCTTGGGAAAAGGTAGAGGTGGAGGAGTCGTAGTGGGCGAGGGTGCGAGCAAGGATTTCCTCGGTAGCTTCGACCTTGTCACTTGCGTTTTCGTAGTCTGCAAGTTCGCGAATGAGACCCAGAATAGTGGGAACGTCTAGATGACGGGCATCAGCGTGGATCTGTTATCTAGTCATGAGGTCAAGTATACCTTCACGACGTGCGTGGCGAAGTGATGCCTTGTCGGATGACATGATGTACTCGGAGGATTTCGGAGGATGCTGCAAGTGTGTAGAAGAAAGGAGTCCGGGTCATGGCCAGGCTTGCTGCCGCAAACTTGTTACATAGGTACATACACGCCCTATTGTATACATGCGTGTCGCGTTGCGGGGCTCGCCTACGTCAACAGTGGGTAGTTGAGATGCCCCGCACTCAGGGCAGCTTTTGTTAGCGCGTAGGCGCACGAACCGCAGATGCAGCCGCAGCCGCAGCAGCGCGCTTCCTCTTCCATTCGTCCAATTCCTTGCGCAGGGGATTGTTCTCTGGCAGAAACTCTGCGAAAAAGGGAAATCGCATATATTGACCATCGGCATTGCGTGGCTGCACATGGGCGGATTTGTCCAAGTCGTGTTGCTTTGGCTTGTGTGGTAGGCGTCCTTGTGCATCTACACCGGCAAAAAGCTGTTGGTCCGTTGGCGCACTGTAAAGCTTGGGCTTGATGGTCTTGTTGGGCTCACCCCAGATGGCCGTCCAGCGCTTTGTTTCTTCGTGGTACTCAAGCTTACAGCAGAGAGTGAGGATCTTGGTGTACAGGCGTCGCATGAACTTGGGGGTGATGGCATGGGGGCGGTGCATACCAGCAGGCCTATCTGCTCTACTGGGTTTGCTCAACGCCATGGCTTCATGTAGGGTGCTGGCAAAGAGAGTTTCTGGTGTAGCGACGCTATCAAAACCAACACCAGTGGGAAGGGAGGTTTTGGCCCTTGGTTTGACCAATCCGATGGGCTGGTGACCGAGCATCATGGCATGCATCTTATCCCACTCGTGGGCGGGCAGGGGCGGGAGAATTCTCGTCATGGTCTCAGCATACCATCGTCGGACGTTGTTACGCGCCCTCTTAATGGGCATAGGGCGGCCCCAGACATTGTGTATGGGTGTCTTGAGGAGCTGGCCCTTGAGCTCGCGGTGGATGGCGAGGCCCTTCTTGTGCTGCGACTTGATGAGGGCGCGCAGCCGCGAGAAGCGATCCGAGATAGCGATAGAGCAGTGCGTCTTAGAGATAGGCACAGGGGCGGCGAATAGGCCCAGGCACCGCGAAGAAGTGTAATAGAGCTGGTGGAGCGGGGCAGGGGGCACATCGGCAGCAGCGGTAGGGAGCGGCAGTTTGCCGCCGTCCATGATGGCATCGGGCCTGAGGAGGGGTGCCAACAACGTGTGCTTGCGCCTGCCCACGCGGCCGTATGCAAGGAAAAGGACCTTTTGCAGACAGGCCATATCGCCCTGGTTGGCGCGGCGGAGAAGAGTCAGCCCTTTGCGCGCCTTGCGTAGCAACCGCGGGATGCGGGAACGTGTGGGTGAAGGTGTGGCTGCATCTGTGGCTTGACTTGTGGCTGGAGTTGTGGCTTGACTTGTGGCTGGGGACCTGTGGTGGCTAGGCGGCTGGTAGGCCTTGAAGCGGGTGACAATGTAGCGGCCAAAATAGGTGCGGGCAGTGGCATCGGGCAGGTATGAGGCCTCGCGCAGCAGAGCACGCAGCATATGCAGCGGCTGGCGGGGTGCAGCCATGGACGACGACGGCGACGGCGACTACAACGATGGAGAAGCCAAGGCAATGCGACGAGGAGAAAAACGACGACCATCATGAGTGAGGATTGCGCTACCGCACGGGCACCCACAGCCGACAGACGCGTTGGACGCGCATCTCCGCTTCTCTCCACCATCACCACCACCACCACCACTACACGCATCAACGGCACGGCACCACACGACACGACGCCGACGCCGGCGCACCCCTCTACCGCCCTGCAATGACATGATGCAAGTCATGTCCACTTCACATTCCTTCCCCGCCGCCTCGCCGTCGCACCAACAGTCGGCTCTGTATGCAAACTCGCCCCACGGACACACCCTCATGGCAGCCCCTGCTGCCTTGAATCGCTCCTTTTCCGACATGAGCGCCTTCCACCACCATGCCATGGACAAGCCTCAGATATATACCGTAGGCCCTCCTTTACTAGCCACACTCCCCCAGTCATCCTGCCATGCTGACCCCCTCCCCCGTCTTAAAGGCCGTCTACTCGGGCGTATCCGTCTACGAAATGGAGGTTAACCATGTCGCCGTCATGCGCCGCCGCTCTGACGGCTGGCTTAATGCTACCCAGATCCTCAAGGTTGCCGGCGTCGATAAGGGAAAGCGCACAAAGGTATTGGAAAAGGAGATTCTCACCGGCGAACACGAAAAAGTCCAGGGTGGTTATGGAAAGTACCAAGGCACCTGGATCAACTACCGCCGCGGACGCGAGTTTTGTCGCCAATACGGCGTCGAAGATGTCCTGCGCCCGCTTCTCGACTACGACATCACCCTCGACGGCAGCCATGCACCGGGTCATGCCATAGAAACCCCTACAAAGGAGCAGGCCATGGCTGCCAACCGCAAACGCTTCTACACACAAAGCATCGATGGCCGGACCACTACGCAAAATCTCACAGGTACCTTTTTCAGCAACATTTCGTCGACGGCCACAAGTGCCCTTGCAGCAATGAACAAGGTTGCGCGACTCAATTCGCCTGCTCCCCGACCATCTTCTTCGTCTCAGAGGCGCACAAGCGCCACACGCCCGTCGCAGTCGCAACCTCCTCTCGCCAACCAAGATTCGTTTCGCACAAGCAGCCAGCAGAGCATTGCTTCGGAACCAAGCTTCACCGGACACAATGGCCAAACAGATTCCGCCTATGCCACCGCCGTCGATGAGTCACAGGAACCACCAAGGAAACGTATTCGGGCCTCGCACGACGAATCATATTCCCAAGCTACCGCGGCAGACATGTCAATGCATCCTCTGAGTTCGCCAACTGAGCCAAGTGAGAGCTTCGACCAGCACCATCCCACACAGCCCATTACTCTTGCCGACGGCGATGTCCCTACCGCTTTGCCGCCACTACCGTATCCTGATACCAAGCAAGATGAAGAGAAGCAGGCCATGTTGACGGATTTGTTCGCGGATCAGACGAGGTCGGATTTCACAAACCATCCCGCCATATTGCATCTCTCCGGCCCCGATCTCGATATGCCCATCGATAACTCCTCGAATACAGCACTCCATTGGGCGGCGACGCTGGCCCGCGTCTCGCTAATCCGGCTATTGGTATCCAAAGGTGCAAACATGTTTCGAGGAAATGCGTCCGGTCAGACTGCTCTGATGAGTGCCGTTTCGGTGAACAATAGCTTGGATCATAGCTGTTTCCCAGAAACCCTAGAAATCTTGGCCCCATTGATCGAGCTACGTGATTCCCAAGGACGAACCATATTACATCACATTGCGGTCACTTGTGCCATCAAGGGACGTGCAGCCTCGAGCAAGTATTATCTTGAGGCTCTACTTGAGTATCTCGTGCGCAGCAATATCGGTGGCGGTCAGCCACCCTCGTTTCATGATACTAGTAATCACTCTAAACCTATCGGCTTGATGAGGTTTATGCAAGAAATGGTAAATGCACGGGATAAAGCCGGCAATACGGCCTTGAACTTGGCAGCGCGGATAGGCAATCGCAACATCATCTCTCAGCTCATGGAAGTTCAGGCTGACCCCACCATCCCGAATCACAAAGGCACGAGACCAATGGACTTTGGAGTTGGCACCGACTTGGGTGACGGACAAGGGCTCATCACAGCGACCAGCCCTACAAAGGCCAAGGCGCCACTGAGTAAAGCTGAAGAAACGAGCCGAGAGATACAACCTTGTAAGTATTTGACCTACCTGAAGATGACTATGTAGCTAACTTGATGCCAGTAATGAGTGGCATCCTCCAGTCAGCGTCCCTGCAGTTTACGCAAGAAGCGCGTTTGAAGCAAGATGCTATTGATCAAACCAACGAGCTTATTACACAACTGTCCAGTCAGCAGAAGCAAGAGCAACAAAAGCTACAAACACTTCGTGCCCGCTTACGCCAAAGACAAGATCGCGCCAAACGGATATCGAATCTCAAACGATGGCTGGAACCCCAACGACATATGCTTTCAGTCAACGATGGTGCCATTGATTTGCACGATAAGAAAAGGATTGGGTACGCCGACACCCAAGGTGCAGGATTGCTTATCAAAGAAGACGACCTTCCCTATGAGCTCCGACAAGCAGGAGACCACCTGGATAGGCGTGCCTCTGATGGCCCAATCTATTTATCGACGTTAGTACCCTTGGATCCAACTACGCTCAGCCAAGTGTCTCATCAGCCCCAATGTCAAAATTTCCTCCTCCAACAACTGCCAGCCGCCTCTGTTCTTCGGCAGCGGATCGAGACGTACACTGCTACCAACACGGCGCTTCTCAAGCGTAGCAGAATGTTGAAGGAAAAGGACGGGCAGCTGGAGATGATGTATCGCAAAGTCGTCAGCCTGTGTACAAAAGTAGAAGAAAACCGAATTGAAGAGTGTCTCGAAGGGTTAGTAGCGGCGTTGGATAGCGAAGAAGGCGAAGGCGTCGAAGTTGGCCGTGTAAGAGAGTTTTTGAGAAAAGTCGAGGGTGTCGACTAGGCGATTTCTTCCTAATCATCCTCCGACAACATCCGGAGTCGAGATATTGTGCCTGCTACATGTCCTTATTTCTGCTTAGCTCTGCTTATTTGGCACGGTGGTACATGGATAGGCTGGCGTTACTTTATGGATACCAGCCCGGCGAGGCTACCGGGTGGCTTGTTCTTGTTGCAATATGACCGAATCGTTAATTCAAAGGACCGATGTCCCATATCAACATGCATTCTATCAGTGCGTTCTGGTGCAAGAGTCAAGAGACATGTTTGGCTGCCTGTTTTTTTTTCAAAGGAGTCTCGTTGAGCGGGTCCAGTATTAGGGGGGGGGGGGGGGGCAGAAATATTGGCAATGACACTGCCTAAACCTAGTCCCCATCATTATGTCTTTCTTTCAACTATTTAATCATGATTTAGACGCATCTCACGGACGGGGAAATTTAAAGTTCCCTCGCTATGTCGGGGGGTACCGAGATGTGCAGTCACACCACCGCATTCTCCATGAATCGCATTGTGCGCAACTATGGAAATCTTGTTTCTTATTCGAGCCCGATTCGCTTCTCTAGCTACTTCTGTCGCTGACGGCAGCCAATGTGGAGTAAATTGCAGCCTTGCTTCTCCACTTGTTGCAGGCATGATCATACAATTGTGGTCTGGCTTCAAGCAATACGAATATGTCTTTTAACGATACCCCGCTTTTTTTGCTGCTAAGAGTAGTTATAGGATTCTGTTCGTGTCATAAAAGGCAGAAATTCAAATATCAATTAGTACAGAAGCTTTTGTGATACCCCACACTGTTTTGTACCCTGTATCAGAAAGGTAGAGGAGACTCGCCTCACGCCACATTTGTGAGTCGAACATGCATTTGGGATTGGCCATGGCAGATGTGCTATGGAGCTAAATGGTGCATATATTGACGCCATTGAGTATTTTCCAATATTGATCGACCATGTTTGGTGGATGGATATGCAGGAGTTCGTAGCTCGGGGGGCGTCAGGGCGTCCGCGCTTCGAGTAAAGTTGCTGTTGGCAAGCCACCAGTAGTAGCCGTTTATCCGTGGTGCCAAAGATTAGGCTCTGCGACTTGGAGAGTTGCAGCTTTCGAGAAGCAAGCTGAAGCTTTGTGTGCTGATCGGGGTCGTGCAAGCGATACGAGCCAGTGTGCTACCAGATATAGCTAACGATACATGAGCATACATGCAGTACGCTTTTGCTCGGTTCCCTTATTTTCGGAGGATACGGTTTCCTGAGACAGGCGTCTAAAGCTTCGGGGTCTATTCCAGTGATGTTCGCAGGAAAATCCCCCATTCGTTAACAATATCATTGTCGTCAAACAGCTGATCTCAGTACCGTCGGCGAATTTGCAAAGAGCTCACCTGTGGAGAATGGAAAAGTGCTATGGTCAGAAGACATACGAAGCACGTGGTTCGACAAAAGGATGTGGTGACCGTTGCAACAAAGTATCATCGACACCGCCATTGCCGAGAAACTTGATACTTAGACATCGCAATGGCTGCCCAAGAACCAGAAGGTTTAGAGAAGATACTGTCTTCACCGTTCAGGCGGCGGTGAAACGGGAACCATCATATAATACTTTCCTAAAGCCGATCTCAGCAAAGTATATTTTATTCTCAACGGGCTTCATTCATGCCAAAGTTGCCGCATTCATCGGCATTTAGCCTCGTGTTTTCAATAACCCCCCGACGGCATCTATTCTGTCGACGTCCTCGTACCCGTCTTTAGCGCGCAATATTAGCACCCTTCCACCCCGTACCGCGAGCGTACATTATGTAAATCAGATGGACTAATTCGACAGCTCGCCGAGAGCCGCGGCTGGCGCGAACGATGGAGGCGGTGCTATTAGAGAGCTTCGTTGAGTGCGGCGCTTTGAGCGGAAGGGGCGGGAGGATTAAGAGGCTCTTGAAGAGGACGAGCGGGACGGCGGGGCGGGCTTGGTGCTGCTACCGCGATATGCCCTGCGTCGTGCAACGTGGGAAATCATCGTAAGCCGCATAGGCGATTCTGGCAGTCAGCAGATGCGCC